GGCGACTATGGTTATTTTCTCGTTAATGCTATCATTTCCCGTGACGAACCACAGCAATCTGTGTCGTTCGCTCCGCTGCAGACTACTTACAAGCCACACTACTTCAAGTCATCGGCTCTGTATCCTGGTAACGCTGATATGGGTGGCGCTAGGATTGAAATGACCCCGACGGAACATGCTGCATTTTTTCGGTTTTCTTTTCCACCCAAGGTCAACTCAACGGTGCTTGTGAGACTATTTGACTATAGCTCATCGACACCAGTCGTCCTCGACAAGGAGGGTCGTTTTTCTACTCAAACCAGTGTTAACAACGGTGGTGTATTGCCTGGGTTCGCCATGTTTATCAATGGGGCAATTGACCCACCACCTGCACGCATGCGCAACGTAGATGGTTCAATCATGCTGGAGTATGATGCTGCGGAAAATAATAAAAGACTTTCGGTACACCTCCGTATCGCTACTTCTTTTATCTCTAATGAACAAGCTCAAGTAAATTTGGCGAGGGAGTTACCTTGGTGTAAGAACTTTGATACTTTCGTGAAGGAAGGTGAAGACGTATGGCAAACACGCCTAAGTCTGGTTACCTATGATACAGTACAGCGAAACAGTAACTTTTTGAGAACTTTTTATACCAATTCCTATCGAACTATGCTGTTCCCGAGACTCCTTGGTGAATATGATCAGAATAATCAACTCGTGCACTACAGTGTTTATACTGGGAAAGTCGTTCCCGGCGAGTTGGCGACTGACAGTGGCTTTTGGGATGCTTACAGGACGGTTTACCTCTGGTTAAGTGTTGCCGCTCCGGACATTCTAGATCGCCTTCTAGAAGGGTGGGTGAATGCCTATAAGGAAGCTGGATGGTTACCGACGTGGGCGTCACCTGGCCAGAGGGGCTCTATGGTTGGCACTATGGGGGATGTGGTGAGGAATTATTCACCTTTAATGTTGTATTCATTAATCATTTCAGGTTTTTGGTTGGGCGATAATTGCCAACAAGACGCCGCATTTGGCTGATGATATGTACGCGGCCATCCGGAAAGACGCTTTTGTGGAACGTCCTAAGAACTCGCAGTTTGGAAGAGAAGGACTTGGCGCGTACTCCGACCGAGGGTGAGTTGTAGTTCTCTCATTGATGATGGATAGATGATGATGAAATGATTTCAGATACATTCCGGTTAAATCAAGTGTGTCCGAAGTCGTATCGAGAGGCCTCAATTTCGCCGAGGCCGACTCTGTGATTGCAGCAGCAGCGTCCAA